AAAAAAAAAAAAAAACTATATGCTGTTGTAGTCAGGGGAATGGTTGGGTTGCTCACTACAGTGGACAAAATGCTCAATTTGGGACCTCCATGGAAAACAGATTAATTGTATCAGCTGTTTTAGTTATGAGTTACATGCTCAATTTGGAACCTCCATGTAAAAGAAACAATGATTCTGCATTTTGCCATCTTGAAGTACGTTTGAAGAAGAAAATTATCTTTGATTTGGAAATTTTGGATGTGTTTATCATTTTCCATATGCGGAAGCTTTTGTTTAATTATATTGCAATGACTCAAATTATGTATTTCATAACTTACAGGGGTGCAGCTCTTCCCACTAATTCTCCCGGCATCCCCTGCATCTTTGATCCTCAAGGAAGAGCTGGCATATGTGGTGATTGGTTATTGGGATCAAGCTTAGAAGCTGCAGCCTTAAGTGGCATGGCTCTTGCTAATCATGCAAGTCACTTGAATTTTCTGCCTTCTTTTCTTTATTCTACTAAGTGGCTTTCTGCATATAAAATGCAATTATAACATTAGCTTTTTGAAACTGAAATATCTAGTTTTGCAAATCATACAGATTGCAGATTACTTCCGAAGTGGTGGAACATGTCCAGATGAGTTTGCCATTGGGTTGCACAATGAATTTCATCCACTTAAGGGACATGACATTGGCCAGTTTCCAGGATTGGTGTCTCAAGGACAATTAGACGAATCCCATGCCTTAAAACTTACTACCTGAATTTACTCCAGTAACAATTATGTTTGTAAGTATTAATTGAGTTTTTGTTCCTTAGTGTCATAATTTGACGTTCACAAGAGATTCTGCTTATTCAGTTCTTTCTTAACTTGTAATTTATGCTCTCCTTATTTCCTAGCATGACTAGTTGGTTCAAGAGAGTGCAAGGACTATGCAGGAGTATGGATACCTGAAAACAAAGCGTTATTTTTGCTGTATTGCCTAGACTGTGCAAGCTTACCCGATCATTTCCTCGTGGATCGCTACCAAGGTAAACCTTTGCAACGTTAAATTTGTTTCTAATTATGATTTCTTGTACTTGCTGCATTAAGGCATGAACTGTTGCATGCAAGATGGGATTTTGTTGAATCAGTCTTGTGGTTTATTTCGCTGTTAACAGGCAAACAGAAACATTTGAGCTGTCAATAGCAATACCGATGAGCTTTGTGAGTTAAGCTATTTGTATCATTGTATGGATACTAAGATGTCGTGACTAAAATTTGGATCCAAAGAGTCAGGAGGCTGGCACGAAAGTGATACTGAAGTTTTGGTTCGTCTGGTTCTATGATTAGTAATGTTTTACTGAAGAACTGCACGGTTCTTGGTTTTGTTTACCAAGCTGAACGGGAACCAATTTTCCCAATTTCTTTTGTATTTATCCCCGTTTTGAATTCTAATTGGTACAAGAAACATGTTTGCTCATTTTTCTTGCACGCTTTTTTGAAAATATAGACGTGTATTTAGAGAAATATCGAGTTTTGAAATTTTGAAAGTGGATTGAAATCAAACAAAATTGTTGTCTTTCTTTTCTGAAAAAAGAAAGCTATTTCACCAAATTTACTATACAGTATAAGTAATTCTATAAACAATTTGTAGAATAATTCTTGTTTAATAGGGCCACGTAGGCTCTAATAAATTGAAAAGAAAAATAGAAGAAAAACAAAAAGAAAACAACGAAGAATTATATATTTAAAAAAAATCCAAAGACAATAGCAAGATAAAGAATAAACAAAAGAAAAAGAGATATTGGCACAAATGGTCCCTAATATATGGCCCTTGTGTGCAAGTGGTTCTTATTCGTTCATTTTTAGCAATGACCCCCTCAACCTATTGGATTTGCGTGCAAATAGTCCTGTTTGGACAATTTTATAACTTTAAAAGTTGAACAATGTGCAATTAACAGTAAGAATAGGAGGTAATCGTAAAAAAGGACTATTTAAGGGCGACGCCCTAAAGTTGAGTGACCAATAAAAAGTATTTTAAATTTCTTTGAATGACTCGTGATGACTCTTGGGTGAGTTGAAATATTTAACTCACATGAGTTTTCTCATGTGAAGAAAAGTATTGTTTTTCACGTGTTCAAGTGAAGAGAGTTTTTGTGACCATCAAAAAGATTTTCAAGATGCTCTCAAGTGGTAGACAAAAAAGTTGTTTCAAGAAATCTCTCAAGTGGAAAGTTAGTGGAAAGATTATCTCATTTGGAAAAAAGTTTTTCACGTGATACTTTTCAAGATGCTTCAATTATTTCATATCCGGGTCTTTAAAAGGAGAATCATTTTCGTCTGTTTTGGCTCAAGCATAGAATAATTAATATTTACCCTCTTCAAGATAGATTTAGATTCCCTTGTAATTTTTCATAATTTCAAATTTTAAGGATTTCTTGTATTTGTATTTTCTTTAAGTTCAATAAACTATTTATTTCCATCCATAATTGCCTTCCATCCATAGTTACCATAACCTTTATTTGAGCTTAATTTGGTATCAGAGCCATAATTGAGTTTTGCAAGAGTAAACAGTGTCAAACTATTTCTTTTACTGAAGATTCTTGCAATTGTTTTTCAATTCTTTTGAATTTGATTTCTTCTTTAAAAAATAGAATATGTTGCCTTTTAAATTTATATTATTAATCATTTTTGAAATCGTTGCTTCTTTTAAGGAATTAACATCTTTAAAAGAGGGCGAATTTGTAAATTTGAAAAATATTTCTTGACCAAAATTTTTTGTAGACAATCCTTTAGAATCTACTTTAAAATGATAAATTTGAACAGTAAAAGGTGTACCAAGAATTACTTCTTGATCTAAATCTTTAACAAGATAAAATATATTTTTGAAATAGATATTTGAATTGCAAACATGTGCTTTCGAAAGTTTATATTGAATATATATACATATATATTATTCTTTAATAATTTCTGAACCAATAATGCTGGCCAGCAAAACCCTCTCTGGACAACTACTTAAAGCCACGAGTGGATGGAATCTGGAAAAAGGGACTATTTACACGCAAACCCAATAGGTTGAGGGGGTCATTGCTAAAAATGAAAGAATAGGGACCATAAGATAAGGACCTTTTGTGTCAATTTTCCAAATAATTGTCATTGGAATATGACTGCCCACGGCTAAACCGTGCCCGCCTCAATTATCAGTGAACGGACACAAACGAGGAGAAACAAATGCTAAACCAAAAAAAGCGGAGAGAAAAGCAGAGAAAACATACCCATAGGACATAGCCATGACGGGCCAACCGCCTCCCCCACCAAAATACACCGTTCCAGAGGCGGTGGCCGACGAGGAAGGTACCGGAGAGCCCCTCCTTCGCCCAACAACAACCACCGCTGTTCCTGGCGGTGTAGGTGTAAGCATTGGAGGAGGGCTTAGAAAGAAGGCCGCTGGGGTGAAGCCCTGGTTGCTTTTGGAGTCGACGGGACAGGCCCAGGTGGTGGAGGCCGGAAAACACGCAATCATGAGGAGGACGGGCCTCCCTGCTCGCGATCTCCGGATCTTGGACCCGCTCCTCTCCTATCCATCTACCGTTCTGGGTCGAGAGCGGGCAATTGTTATCAATTTGGAGCACATAAAGGCAATCATTACGGCCCAAGAAGTGCTCTTGCTGAATTCCAGAGATCCCTCAGTCACCCCCTTCGTTGAAGAGCTTCAGAGAAGAATTTTTCGCCATCATCAGGCCTTCAAGGCTGAGGTTTCTCTCCATCTTATCATATACACGCACATATTCTTTGCTTTTGAAGAGTTTATGTGAAATTGTAAAAAAAATTTATTGATGATTATTTGATTTTAGGTTTTAAAAAAAAATTATTGCTAAAATTTGATCATTTTGGTCGTTGATGTTGATATGCTAATGTACTTAATATGCCACACAATCTTGATTTTCTCAATGTTAGTATGTTATTTCATATTAGTAGTAGAAGATGAATAATGCTTGATATAGTGTGTGTTCTTACTAATTTTTATCTCTTATCTTCTTTTTCTGATTATATATATTGATTTGGGAAGATCGACTTATTCACTTCCATTGCTAACATGGAAAGAAAAATTTGTGCTCCAATAGTGCTTGCAATTCAGCCAATGAATGTCATTCTTTACTTATATTTTCAATTGATATTTGTTTCCCAAATTACAAAATCTATTCAATTGGGTGAGTTTTCCTTGTCTAAATGAACTCATATACATCTATGCATATTATTAGTTTCACATTTATCTGATCATATGGGATGATGGCAATTAAGGAAGCTGGAACCAATGGTGAGAATGTGGACTGGGCAAATTTATATGATCTGGGAGAGCCACAATCAAGAAAAGTTAGTCCTCCAACTTATTCTGGGATTTTCTTGAATAAGGATGAGGAGAGGAAGGAAGATGAGAGGCAACAAGTCGTGGAGAATCGAGACGGATTGAAGCTTCTTCCATTTGAGTTTGTTGCTTTGGAGGCATGCCTTGAAGCTGCTTGCAGTTGTTTGGATAGTGAAGTATAGAATTCTTATACCGCCCCTTCTGTTAGAAAAATGCAATTTCTTGTCTCCTTTGTTCTTTGGTTTATTTTGAATGTTTTTCCCCTGATTTCAAGCTAGGCAAGGACATTGGAGCAAGAAGCTCATCCTGCATTAGATAAGCTGACTTCGAAGATTAGTACTCTCAATTTGGAACGTGTACGACAAATTAAAAGTCGCTTGGTTGCAATAACTGGACGAGTTCAAAAGGTTGGCTTGATGAGTCTTTGTAATCCCATTTCGAAGTGTCTGCTTCTACTGCTAAATTATCTGGCTTTGAAACTAAACTCTGATTAACTTTAGTTTGTTTATTGTGCTAAAACTGGAGAAGTTTTCTGTTTAGAGCTTTTTTTTAATTGCTGAATTCATGCTCAGTTAATTTTCATCTTTGATTGTTAGGCTTGATTTCTATAATCAATTACAACTGCATATTAAGACTTGTAACACTAACAAAGAATCAATGACTTTTACATATGTACCTAAATGGAGAAGAGGTTATCATTAGCTTTTGTTTTGTTCTTTTTTCTTTTACTTGTAATACAATCTATTATATAGAAGTGATCTTTGGGTTGATATATAATGAGATGACAAACTATTGACCCAAATTGAGATTATATGATATTTTTTCTTCTGGCTCGTTAAATTTATATGAATTTTACCCCTGGGGTAATAATAATACAAATGCAATTTAGTTTTCGTACTTGGAGCATGTTCTTTATCAAAATTGTGATGGTAAATTCTTTGCTGACAGATTGGTTTTACTAACCACTTGAAGTAATAATGTTACTCTTACTGGTTCTTTAACATTTTCGTACATTTTAGCACTTTGCCATTCTTTGAGCACTAATTTTCATGTATACATGTACTCGCACAAAAAATGATGCATATGGCATAGATTCTTAGCTTGCCTTGACAAAATCATTTTTTCGACAACATCGTCTTGATAATTTCTATTTACTTTCTTATAGTTTTGGACCTTTGGTCATGTATTAGCTACTTTTTTCTGTTACCCTTATCAGGTAATTCTGACATAATTTTCCAGGTAAGGGATGAATTAGAGCATTTGCTTGATGACGATGAAGATATGGCAGAGATGTATTTGACTGAAAAGCTTGCGCAACAACAGCTTGAAAATTCTTCTGCCTCTTCTTTAAATGAGCAAGATGACATGGATGAAGTTGTTCAGTCTGAAATGGATGACAGGCATGTGAAAGCCTCTCTGTTTCGTCTAAATCATAAGACATATTTCTAGATAATAGTGAACCGCCTAATCTAAAAGTGAACCATCATTATCATACCCAACCCAGTCATTGACCCGGACAAATCATTGGGTCATCGGGTTGTGGTTCAACCAGTGGGTCATTGCAAGGTTGAATTTCAGTTAATTTTTTTTAAACAAAGATTAAAATGGAACATATATAATTCTGATACATTATTGTTAAGACTCCACCAATTGCTATAGTGTCCAAGCTTTCCATAATTCTCAAGGTGAGCAAAGGTTCGAATCCTCCCAACTGCAAATTTGATATAAAATTTTGCTTTCAACCTATTTGGTAACTAATCGGTTCAATCCAAACCTTTCCAAATCAAGGCAAACCAGTCCAGTTCGGATGGTTCTTGACTGGTTCAATTACTAATGAGCCAATTAATGCAAAGCGGACTGGACCAATGGCCGGTTTGCCGGTTCCTGGGCCGGACCGACCGGTCCAGTCCGGTTTTAATAACTACGAAGAGAACCTTTTAGATTATTAGGTGGTGCAAAATGGTATTAGGGTAGGTAGAAGACTTAGATTCAAGTCTCATTACCACCCTTACATAAACTTGTGCACGACGCCCTTGGTAAAAAGTGAATCCAGTCTACGCATGAGGGGGCGTATTGGAGACAGTCTAAATAAACAAGTTTGACCCCTCTCACCTTCAAAAGAAAAAAGTTCGACCTCTCTCTTACAGCTTTAGTTTTTAGATGAGGTAGTTTAACAGTTTTTACAGTAATTATTCACTATTAAAGTTCACGTTACACTCAATTGTTGTAACATTGCAGGGGTCGTGCTGAAATATCAATGGAAGGTAATGGGAGTTCCTTTATTTCTGATGGTGATCTTCAGCAGATTACCAACCACCAGGAGCAATTTTTTGAAGGTCCTGTTGCTCCTAGCAGAAACAGTCATGGGACCCATACCAGTACACACAGTGCTATAAGCAAGAACCTTGACGTGGAAGAGCTCGAAATGCTCTTGGAAGCATATTTTGTTCAGATTGATGGTACACTGAATAAATTATCCACAGTACGTAACTAATCTTTACGCTTAAATAATATTAAAATGATTTGATTTCTTTATGAGCTTCGAAATGGTAATTTAGCCCCCTTTTTTTTTTTAACATAAAGGGGTTGTTTGGTGCATTAGTTTCTTTCACTTTCGCTGAAATTTGGTTTTGAGTACTATCCTCGATGGTATTTCGACATTTAAGTGATTAATAGTCATTTGATGGAAGAAGTCTCAGATTTGCAAAATTTCTACCCATAATGTGTTTCCAAAAGGCGTTGTGAACATTCTTTGCACTCGCTGAATACATCTGCAAAGTTTTTACTGCACATTCTTTATCAATGGAACCTCGTGTTACCGGTTACCGCTGTTGTGAGACGTACCATGTATTTTGTTCTCTATAAACATTGATATTTGCTTCATACAGATGAAGAAAGTTAAAAGGAGCAGAAAACTTCTTATGGTACCTTTTGAAATACCTTTTTATTGGATACAAAATTTGGTCTTCTTAAACCTTAAATACAATTACAATATTTTGTTCTTACTTTGTCTTTTTGATCTTATGTTGTGCTGTGATCGAGATGCTTCTATATGAGAAATTTTCTCCCATCAAAGCTTAGTGCTATGAATAGTTCTATCTAAACTGCATTACAAACATTTATGGCTTGTTTGACAAGAAAGATAGGAAAGCAGTGGAGCGGACAGTATAAGAAGAAAAAGATACTAAAATCTTGTTCATTGTATTGTCAAGTTCTTGCTAGTATTGCATGCCAAATTCCCCAATGGTTACCAGTTTGAATCCCCTCAGGGCCACTGAGGTGAATACCTGACCATAAACTTCAGGGGCCGTGGGGTTAGTCGAGGTAAGCTTACGCGCGTAAACTGGCCCGGACATCCACGGTTATAAAAAAAAAAAAAAAAAACATTGCATGCCAAACATTCATGTATTTTCATCACTTCTGCAAGTTCCATAATACATGTACTGACATTTTATCCCTTGGATGTTCTTGGAAGCTGAGGGAATACGTAGATGACACGGAAGATTATATCAACATTATGTTGGACGACAAGCAAAACCATCTCTTACAAATGGGGGTTATGCTAACAACAGCAACCCTTGTGGTGAGTGCTTTTGTGGTCGTGGCTGGGATTTTTGGTATGAACATCAAGATTGAATTGTTTGATGACAAAATAGCCGGGATGCCAGAATTCCTTTGGACTGTCGGGGGAGGTACAGCTGGCACTGTTTTCCTTTATGTGATTGCAATTGCCTGGTGTAAACACAGACGGCTACTGGAGTGAGACACTGTTTTTAGTCTCAGCTTCTTATCGTACTGTGCATGTAAACCAGAAGATGTATGAATACTATGTTGATAGCGATTTAACATGGTTGACATTCTGATGCTTTTTTCTTGAGTTCTTCGTGTGGTTTATACAAATGACCTCATAAACTCCCCGTCCCTGTCTCTGTATAATTTTTTATTTTTTCCTATTCTTTTGTAACAAAGGACCTTGTGGTTATTTGCTTTCAGAATCCCTTTGTTAAATTTCAATAGGGTCTTATTAGTCTTGCAATTTTTACTTGTGGGCTTACACTTATTTATTGTAGACTTCAAATAAAAGAAGTAAGCACCACTTTTTTCTATGTACTTCAACCAAGTACGTTGAACTGCCCATGTCTGCATTCCCGAAGGCACCACTCTGTCTGCGCTACACTCTTTCAAGAGGATTTTTGTTCGGTCTGTATATCCTTAGTTTCTTGACATATTTGTGAGTTTCTTGGTGCTTAGAAATTGTCATCAAATTACCTGTAATAATTATGAACGTGATGTAATATTGATAGTGATGTTACTGCAAAATATCGATTTCTGGTGCATAAAAGGTTTTTTGTCTGGCGAGATTAAGGTGAAATATTAAGAAAAAAAATCGATTTCTCAAGAATTACAAAATATGAATACTTTTAGCTGTTGGACTTGGAAAACAAGTAAAATTGAATTACTAATAGATTTTATTAAATTTTCTTTATAAAATAAGGTTTAAAACTTCAAAAATCAGATTTTATTAAATTTTATTTATAAAATAATTAATTAAACATATTTTTTAATTAAATGTATTAATGTCACAATTCTACACAATTTGGTCACAGATTATCGAATTAATTGGTCAAATTATTTCTTAATCACAATCAGAAATTTTACAGGTCATAATTTATTTCATAGTCACAAATAAAAATTTTTATAGACCACAATTTATTCATCAATCACAAATTTATCAAATTTATAGGTTACAACAAATTTTACAAGTACAATTCATTTCATGGTCACAAAATATCTAATTAGTCAATTACAAATTATTTTTGAGTCACAACTTAATTTTTTTTTAGGCCATACATTATTTATTAGTCATATTATTTATGGATAATTCTTCTTGTACATTAGGGTGCCATAATGGTGTCCATAATGGACACCATTATGGCACCCCTAATGTACTTGTAGCACTTCCCATTATCTATTTCATTGATCACACATTAACCATAATTTGTGACCGCCACACCGTTGTCACCACAACCGCCGTTGCTGCCCCCACCATTATCAGAATAGTCACTTCACTACCACAATCAGCGCCACCACCACCACCATCTTACCACCAACAAATCAGATCCACAAGTGCCAACACTCCACAACTACCATCACCTCACTACCGTCGTCGTCGCCTCCACTATCGCGGCCACCACCACCACCACCACCATTTCCAACCAACACTCATTCACAGACCTGTCAACAAGAAACTACCAAGGTCTCGACAAAACCATGGTCTCATTAACAAATCACCATTTTCAATGCCGCGGTCATTAACGATTCGCGCAGATCTCACATATTTGCTACACTCTGCATCGTTGCCGTTGCGTACGGTGTCTGTGTCGGCATCACCGTTGTGTCGCTGCTTCGAATAGTGACGACTTACATGCAACTCCATCATTACTGCTATGTTGAGCAATGATCCTGTTTGCAGCTGTGTGCAGTGGTCGCTCGGTGAAGAAGAATAAAAATAGGTAGAACCCTCTCGGTGAAGAAGAATGTGTAGAAGAAATAGTAGAGAGAGAATGGAAAGAGAGAAAAAGAAGGAAGAAGAAAATGAAATGAGTTTGAAATTTAATTTTATAATATTATGTGGTTCCATGTAATTTCCATTTACTATTAACTGAAATTATCCAAAGTTGATTAAATGTAGGGATGGTCATTGGGGATGAATAACATTACTCATGGTGAGTAATGCTATTCATCCTCACTGGGGATGGAAACATAGTCTACACGGCGTTAATGTGGTATTAAATGATAGGTGAAATTAAATAAGTCATTTAATTTAACCTATCATTTAAAACCATGTAGACTGTGTTTCCATTCCCACTGGGGATGAATAACATTACTCATGGTAAAAAGGTAGGGTTAGGGCGATCATTATCATTTTTATCTCGTTGGAGATTTTCGTGAGGTGGAGTCGGGATTAAAAAATAAATCTGATTTTCTGCTCCATTTAATTATTAAATTTTTAATGTTATTTTCATTTTTAAAAAATATATAAACATAAAATTTAAAATTTCGGGGGTGGGTACGAAGAATTCAAGGTGGGATCATGTTCGTCGTCTCTGCTTGTTTTACATTTGGGGCAGAGATTCCTCACTTCAATTGAGAGCATGACAATGCACGATTTTACTTGATTTGGACGTATATAACAACATAGGACATAGACATTTAAAAAATTATTAAATGGGTTGGGTCGATTCTTAATAAGTAGCCTATTTAGAGGAAATTACATAAAATCAGCTGTTTAAACTTCAAAGTGCAAAAATCAAGTGTGAAGATTTTTTAATCAAATTCAGGTATTGAATTAATAATTAAATATTATACCCACCCAAACCCTAATTTTAATTCATTTCTCTCAATTCTCTCTCTTTATTTCTTTTCCTCTTCTCACTCTTCATTTCTCTCCGGCAACCGGCAACCCATTCAAACTTTGGCAATCGACGACAAAGGAGATACGCCGGCTGACGCTGATGAGAATGGCTTTCTGTTTTTCGATATGCCTTCTCTCTCTTCTTTTCTCTCCATTCTCTTTCTTCGACACCGCCGACGCTTCGCTGTGAACGCCACTTCATCTCTCTCGCACATGGCTGACATCAAGGGCTGCTGAGTGTCGCCAAGCGACGCCGTCGTGCACAAACTGCAACGGCGAAATAGCAGCGACGCGGAGGTGTGGTGGTGATGGCTATAGCGTTTGTGTTTTGTGTTGAATGCAGAGTCTCTTCACGGTGCTCGAGTGTGTCGGTGACAGACGCAGCACCGGCCACCGTGCGCGATGCATAATACCTCCCCCATAGTAAGCAGCGACGCTCGCTCCATTATCATTTCTCTCTTTTTTTTCCTTTTCTGCATCTGTTTCTGGTTGGTATGGTGGTGGCGGTGGTGTGGTGGTTTGGGGATTTTCCGCACGGTGGTTGGGTTGTTTATGTGGGTGTGGTAGTGTTGGAAAAAATCCTCGATTTTAGCCAGCGGTGGTTGATTGGAGTTGGAGGTGGAGGTGGAGGTGGTGAGTGGTGTTGGAAAAGGCGTTTGTGGGGAGTGGCGGGGACGATGTGTGTAATAGTCATGGTGTCGTTTCTGATGATGGTGGTGCGTTTCTGTTGTTGGCGGCAGTGGCACCTTTTTGTGGTGTTCGTGGTGGCCGTGGTGGTAATGTTGTGTTGTTGGTGGCGGCGGTTGTGGTGTGATAGCGTTTGTGACCAATTATTTGGTTAATTTGTGATTAAGTATTAGTGGTGGATCGGGATCGAGGGTGGGGTGTTTGGTGTATGTGACCAATTATTTGGTTTATTGTGACTAACCATTAAACTGTGTAACCTTAAAATTTGATAATTTGTGACTAAAAAATAAATTGTGACCAAAAAAATTGAAAATATATGATTGATAGATAAACGGTGACCTATAATCTTTTTGATCCGTGACCAATGAAATAAATTGTGACGCATAAAATTTTTGATTTGTGACCTCGAAATAATTTGTGACTAATTAATTTAATAATATGTGATCAATAAATAAGTTGTGACCTATAATTATGTACACGTGACCATTAATTGTATAATTGTGAATTTACTATATTTAAATAATAATTATTTTTAATTAATTAACTAAATACCTGAGTTCTGCATTTTTTAAACTTAATACCTGATTTTTGCAATTGTGAAACTTAATGTCTGATTTGTGAACTCTTCCCGCCTATTTAATCCCTTGTTTGATCTTTATTATCTTAAAACTTATGTTTTTTTTTTCAAACTCATTTTCAACTATACATTCTCAAAATAAAATATTTTGCACGTAAACCTAAAAATTTTTCCTATTTTTTAATCAGGCATTCTTAAAAAATTCACTATTACAAAATGCATTATCAATAAAAAAAAAATGTGGCTCAAACCATGCTAAGTTTGTTAAAACCTAAAATCTATCAAGCTTATTTATGTTAAAAAATCACCCGTAAGGAGCACATCTTACTTTTCAAAATCCATAATTATTAATTATACTTATTATTAATTTAAATATAATAAAATCGATGGTTACACATTTTTGTCTGTAAATAGGACCTAAGGTCCAAGAGGAATCATAAGTTGAAATGCAAGAGAAAAATGTCAATGACAGAAAGCAGTTCAGGAGAAAATTCAAATGTTCAGAGAAAGAAGAGAAGAAAATCTCTCGAGTCCAAAGTTGAAAATTCAAATAAGAACAAAGTCTTCTTCAAGTTTCAATTCAAAGCAAGTTCAAGTTCAAATTCAAATCCCGAAATTCAAATTAAATCTTGTAGTCCAAGTTTCAGGCAAGTCAAGTTCTGAACAATCAAAACCAAAATCAAGCCTTGAAATTTAAGATTCAAGCCACATGGCCCCTTGTCTTCAACATCGGATTGTTAATTAGAGGATTTTGCAATTTTACAGTCGCAAAAAGATCAACATACTTTGTATTTCATAAAATTTTAATTTGTAACAATTTATGTATTTTATACATGAAATTTGTAATACAAATTTTTTAGTACACTCGGTAGGATCTTCTTATTCTCTCATTTTTCGATTACATAAAACCTTCAAGTTTCAACCATTCCGTTATTTATGGCTGGCGAATAATCAAATGAAATTGTAATTCTCTCGAGGAGTGTCAAAATGTGGGATACAACCAATACCACCAGCAAAACAAACAAGACCAGAAAGCTGGAAGAACGGAAGCTACCAGAAGAAAATGAGCTGAAAGAATTTTCTA